ATGTAAGTAGGTGCACCAGTAATTTTGCCCTACCCTGTACATGAGAAAATTGACCTACAAATCCTGGTGAACGAATGCATGGCTGTTCGAAGAATAGGGTAATCAGAGCTAGACAATGAATACGAGCTAATTCGGATTCATGGGTTGAATATGCGGAGACATTTTTCCGTCGATGAATAAATTACCATACACTCTAACCAAAACTCCAGCTTCTTTTCTTGGCAACCTATATATAACATCACACAGTACTCTTCAGGTAATTTCATGCCCTGGAGCGATAGAGTGTTTATGAGTTCGCCAGGTATTCATTCATAATGCGCCGTGCATTTGATTCCCATTCAGAAACGTGGGGCCATCAAAATGTGACCATGTCTAGTCAAAGAGTTGCGGGTGTTCGAGTCAGTGTTTTCACACTCTCAGACAAATTGCTCACCAATTACCGACAACGAAGGAAACGTCTCAAAGAAACAGCTCATCATGAAATCGATGTGTTCATTGCAGAACAACATGAAAATGAAGGTGAGAAGAGGACCGTAATTGAAGGAAAAGTAGAGGAAGCCTTAGAAAAACAGAAATTAAGGTTTCATCTTCTCTGAGGTGGAACGTAGTACGGCGGAAAGACACAGGGCGCTGAGGGGGGAGCATATCGTACGAGAAGGCGAACACTCAATCCCCATCAAGATGGATAACAAAATAATCATAGGTTCGTGAAATATTCAAATATGCTGATATTTGGTTTGAAACCCTATAATCGAGAATTCTGGTCGTAGTAGGGGTGTTTACGACGGTGTTATGAACCATTGGAATCATTTGAACTATTTTTCCTCAAGTTATGGCAAAAAGACCGATTGCGGCTGATTCATTCGCTCAAATTTGTCGATGTAGCAAAAATTAGGGGCGGTACCAAAGCAGCGATCGAGAAACAGGATCGGTGAAAGTGGTCATAACAAAGCTCTAGCTACCACTTTTAAACTTCGAGAACGGCACTTACGCAACTTACGGACAGCTCTCTGACCTGCCACAACAAATCGTCCATATGAGCTCATCGTGGAGGGTGCTTTAGCATGAGTGAAATTCTCCATTACGGTAACACCGGGACACAGATCTTTTCGTTTTCTGCATTTCCACGTGAACATCACGATGTGTGAATTGACCTTTCAAGGGCTCCGAGTAATTACGGGCATTAATGAGTTTCGTTGGTTCTGGGTCCTATTATGTGTAATTAAATTTTGCTCTGACCAGAACCAAAAGATCATTTCATTCAGTTCAACGTGGCTGCAAGGAAATTGCTTGCTGCAGTCATTGGTGTAGGAATCAAGAAGGATACTGACCAATACGATAAAAAGAACCCGAGAACGCCCAGAAGAAGTGAAGTTCAGCAGGAACAAGCGCAGCAGATATTTGTGCGTTATAAGGTGATGGAGGCTAACAACAAGTGATTGTAAGAGAGAGAACGACCCATGTTGACGACCTCCATTTCAAT